TTTGTATTTTCGTTGGTCGTTCGGAATTCCTACTTCATCTTGTTTTTTTAAATTTTTTATGTTCTTGTTTGTGTTGATTTTTTAAATAATATTTCGTATTTTCGTTGGTCGTTCAGAATCCTACTTCATCTTTTTTTATAAATTTTTTATGTTCTTGTTTGTGTTGATTTTTAAAATAATATTTATAATATTTCTTTAGTTGCAATTGTGATACTTGTTGATTTTACACAAACAATAATTTTCTTTATTATTATTATTATCATTGTTATAACATTTATGAGAGACAGCATCAAATAGACATGCTGAAGGAATTAGTCTTGACACAAGTCCTTGTTCAAGAACCTGTGAGCTAAGAGTGTCCATCTTCCCTGCTATTCCTGTTCTTCCAGGCTGTTGTCAAGTTCATAATTATCATTGCATATCATAAGTCATAACATTAATTAATTGTTTGTTTTTTTAAATAAAATAAAATAACACACTTGATAAAACAGGAACATGTAAAATCAATACCTTCTTTTAGCTGGAAACCTCCACTAAAGTATTGCAGTAAGCTGATTCCAACTTTCCAAGCATAGCTTGGTAAAAATAACTTGCTTCTTCCAGAGCTGCACATCTGAGCATGCGCGACCACACCCAAATTTTGGAGCACATGGCAAGCTTCTTTAATTAACAAAATGGCGGAATGCAGCTAAGATGGCTCGATCCAGCAGTCACAGTAGTCTCGCGTAGCCAGCCCCTCCCTCAACGGGAGGGTCTGGTCGAATGAGTGTAGATCGTTCGTTCTACTTCACCCCAAAACAGGGTGAACCGGATGTGGTTATTATGGGTGTAACATCACAAGCATGACTTCTCGTGGCACAATGGATGCTCTTGTCGCAGCTGAGGAAACTCTGGGATTGTCTCTTAAAGAAAAGCAAAAGGAGGCTGTTTTAGCCGTACTTGATGGCAAAGATGTGTTCTGTGCACTCCCTACTGGTTATGGGAAGTCCATTATATATAGAATACTTCCAACAGCCTTCGATTATTTACTAGGTGAGGCCACAAACTTTTAGTTCACTATTTTAGATATTTTAAAGGTCGAGAACCAGGACATAGCATAGTAGTTTGTATTTCACCTTTAAATTCTTTAATGATTGATCAGGAAAGGAATTTCAAGTCAAAGGGCATTGCTGTTGAATGCATAGGTGAGATACAGAAGGATCAAGGAGTCATTAAAAGAGTAATTAGTGGTAATGTTCCACTAGTATTGATAACTCCAGAAAGCATTACAACTAATCCTCTGTTTCGTGGTATGCTATTATCACAAAAGTTTAAAGAAGGTATGGTGACACTTGTTGTTGATGAAGCTCACTGCATTAAGACATGGTAAGAAAATTATTATTATCAGTGCACAATTATTTTATTATATTAGGGGGGACAACTTTCGTAGGTCATTCTCTGATTTAGGCCAACTACGCAGCAGCCTACCTAAGATACCAGTACTGGCAGTAACAGCAACTGCCACACATGGCACTTATGATGTTGTTACTAAACGATTAGCTATGGAAGATGTAGTTATCATTGGATTGTCACCATGCCGAGACAACATCTTCCTATCAGTAAAATGTGTTACTCTGGCTGATTTTGTAGAAAACATAGCAGAGAGTGTGAGGCTCAATAATGTGAATCATCCAAAAACTCTAGTTTTTTGCCGAACGTATACTGACTGCAATTTAGTTTATGATATGTTTGAGGAAAAGCTTGGTTCTTGTATAACATTTCCACCTGGGTATCCTAACAGTCGTAAATATCGAATCATTGATCTATACACGCAAGCTAATGTTGATCAGGTGAAAAAGGAAATACTTAGTGAATTCATTAAAGAAAACTCTCTTATTCGAGTTATTACTGCAACAACTGCTTTTGGGATGGGTATAGACTGTCCTGACATTGCCAACGTTTACCACTGGGGATCACCACATTCTATGGAAGAGTATGTTCAGGAAATTGGGAGGGCTGGGAGAAATCAGATGCCGAGCTATGCAACTTTAATATATAAAAAAGGCAGAAGTACTATTGATTCTAAAATGGAAGAGTATGGCTCTAACACAAACAAATGCAGGCGCCATTTATTGTACAGCACGTTCATGTTCCATCAAGAAAGTTCCTTGGAGAGTCAATGTAAATGCTGTGATATTTGTGCTTTAACATGTAAATGCATGTTATGCATGTGATTTATATTATGATTATGTATATATTTAATGATGTAAAGTAGCACTGCACA